TAAATCCATATTCCCCTAGAAATATAATGATTCAGAGGAGTTGTAGTTGTTGTACCAGTTGTCAGCAGTAGTGTGCGCAAACACTGTTATTTTGTTACAACACTAATAAGATAACAGCAATCCGATAATATATAGCTCCATAGTTTCACTGGTCCACATTTGATTGGATTAGGCAAGTAATGAACTCCATATCTGAAACCAAGAAAGAATTTTCCCACCTTGAATAAGTAGTTTTTCCGTCCTCCTCAGTACATCCATGAAGGAATTTACCAAAGGATGACTCGTGGTGACTGGACTTGTTTTGTTTGCTTTGCCCGCAAAGCAAACAAAACTAGTGATGCCTATTTGGAGTACACATTTGCTTAGGTTGGACAGCTTTACACTGGACATCCTCTTATTTATTGTAAGCAGTTGTAATTCACTTACCACTATGTGTGGGCCTTATCTTGCTAATACAAAACCTGAAGCTCAGATATCTATAAGCACAGACTTTGCTATGGGGTACAGCCATGAAAGGACTCTATCAGTAGGTCTCTTGGAGGGAACAGTTTGAAAGGATCCTTTTTAAAAGTAATGCAGGATTGTTGACTTGGGATGCAACTACACAAGCAGTTTAATATAGGCAGGCAGCATAATTGCTTGTTTAGGAGATGACAAGAAATAGGACACTTAGTACTTTCCAGATAAACACTGCAACAATAGTGAAGCTTCATCCAGAGACTTTTAAACCTATATTAAGCTCAATTCTCATAACAGTGTCTATGCAAATACTTCAAGGATACCTGCATTTAGGGAAAATGACTTTCTTTAATGGTTTGAAAGAAATGATTAATATGTAATACATCACCCTATTAAAATATACAACATGGATATTTATTGAGAATCACAGTGTGGTTGGAGCTGTACAGTATATAGTATAACAGGTGAATCCTGCCAGAAGGCTTTACAACCTAAACTAAACTTACAGACTAAAGTGAACATAGTATAAGTGCCAGATAAAGGTCCAAACTCTAAATGAGCATGATATTTTTCATCATGGTATTCTGCAGATTAGATTTCTAGAAGTGATTTTTGCTGAAACATTTTGAAGGATTGTGAGGGAATCCCAACTGGAGCCGGGTTCCCCCCGGCCCAAGTCCCTGAAAAGGGGCAGTTCCCTACAAGATTACGAGTGACTCCCCGGCTCGGACGTGCATATGCGCCTGTCTCGCCTGCCACGACTTGCTGTTAATCTATATCTGTCCAGTTGGTACGGCGTGTGCAGTCCGGGAATGAGACTCTCATCCTCTTCAGGGTCCCGTTGTCCTGAGGGCTCCTCCACCCCTACACCCTCACCCAGTCCTCTGGTAGGGGCTGTCCGCCCTGTCCTGCTCTTTTACTCGTGAGGACTGCGGACCCGCCAAAATAAATAAAAAGGTAGTCCATAGAAGCAAGGAAAATCCTGGCCAAGGGTCCCTCGGGGTGGTACATCTGCCCCACGCCTTGGCCCGGGTTCACGAGTCCTTGCTCCCCTCTGGGTCTTCACCCGCTCCGAGCAGCTCCGCCCGAGCGGTTCACCAGCCGTGAACCCCGAAAAGAAAAGGAAGGCGGGGAATCCTTGGTCCACCGAACCTGTCCCACAGTCACCCGGCCTCGGACTTGATCCCTATGGGGCTCGTGCCGCACCCCGTGGCATTCTTGCTTCTTCAACCTTACTAGGTCTACTTCCCGGGGTACAGATCCCTGTCTCAGGGTCCCGCTTACCCCAAAAGGTCCTGCTGCTCTTTCCGACGGCCCTGGTCCCCTGGGGCACCTTCACTCCGGCAGTGCTTCTGGCCTTTGCTGTGCCTGATTCCGCCGCCTCGGGAGCCGCCGCCTCCGGACCCGCTTCTCCCGGCTCCACGGCCTCCGGACCCACTTCTCCCGGCTCCGCAGCCTCCAGACCTGCTTCTCCCAGCTCCGATGCCTCCGGACCCACTGCTCTCGGCTCCGCTGCCGCCGGAGCCGTCCTCCTTGGAGCCCGCACCGGTGCTCCCTTTGAATTGATCCAGGTTGCCCCAGCGCCTCCCACTTCCGGGTTCCTGCGGAGTTCAAATTCCCGCCACTCGTCGCCGGCCACACCGCGTGAGCGGCGTTGGGTTGCGTCAACTCGGGATCCCTCCGAGCTCAGGACCTGCTTCACTCCCTTACAAGCATAATTATTTTAAGGAGAATTTTGACTATTCCAGAATAATTGTCTCCTGATTCTAGTCAAATGCCAAGGCAAAGCGGATGACATTTATTTGTGATACATAGTGCTTTTTTCCGTTGTTCTTATTACACCAAACACTTAAGGAAATTGATTATGTTATTTTGGCTGGTAGACACTAGATAGTAGAACAACATTTATTCTCAGTTAGTTAGAATAGTTAGTGAAAGACTACATTCTGATTATCTCAGAGAATTGATCTTAGCCATACAGAAAAGAAGTTTATAAATAGAACAGATAATTTTAAGTCTTTTGAACAAATTTATATATATGGAAATACAATGACGAAGGTTAAATCCTGCTTCCTTGAAATTAATGGATGTTTAATGGAGCCAAACCAAATCTACATATAAGTATATTCTCTGAAACATTTGAGTCTGCTTCAAGAGGCAAATCTTTTATTTGGATCTAAAGCCATTCAGAAGAAGCATGGGAAGAAAATATATAATACCTTTTGTAGATGCAGAAACTGCCAGCTTTAAGTGTAAAGAAAAAAATACTTATTTTTAAGTATTTAAGTCTCCAATTTTAGGTATTTAAGTCTCTATTTTTAAGTATTTAAGTCTCTAATTTAATTTATAATTATCAGCTAAACACTTGATAGATTTTTAGCAAAATAACCAACTGCCTCTTCATATAAATAAAACTGCGAAACCTTTTCAGTGCATTGTAAAATACATCCTCCATAATCAATCAGAAACAAACAGATTAGATTAAGTAAATTTGACTATTTAATTAAAGGCCAAATTGAATTGATACATGTCATGTTTGCTATATATTTCAATTTTTATAGACAAACATGCATGACAAACTTCACCATCAGGACTGTTCACTGTCATTAACCAAGTACCTCCAAAGAGCTACATTCCCAGGTAAACTGTTTCCATACAACTAGTATAATCACACTGAAAGCAGTATCATAAATATGGTATATTTGACTGTGGTTATGCGCTTACTGCACATAATCTTTTGATATTAGACATTAGAACAGGAAGGGACCTTGGAAGATCTTCGATTCCAGCCCCCTACCCCAGGGGCAGGAGGTCAGCAGGGTTCATAGGATCCCAGAAAGATAAACATACAAATTTCTCTTGAAGGCGTTCAAAGTAGGTGCTTGAACCACCTCTGGCAACAGTCTATTCCAGACCTTGGGGTAAAGAAGTTTTTCCTTATGTCCAGCCTGAAACGGTCATGGAGGAGTTTGTAACCACTCAACCTTGTCATGCCTTGGAGCACTCTGGTGAACAGATGTTCCCTTAGATCCTGGTGAGCACCCCTTATGAACTTATAGGCAGCCACCAGATCACCCCTGAGCCTGCACTTTTCCAGGCTGAGGAGTCCCATAGCTCTCAGCCTCTCATCATATGGTCTGTTTTCCTGACCTCTGATCATGTGTGTGGTTCTCTTCTGCACTCTCTCAAGCTTCTCCACATCCTTTTTGAACTGTGGAGCCCAAAACTGGATGCAGTACTCCAGCTGCAGCCTCACCAAGGCCGAGTACAACGGGAAAATGACATCCTGGGATTTGCTTGAGAAGCATCTACAGATGCAACCAGCATTTTGCTCGCTTTACTAGCCGCAGCATCACATTGATGGCTCATGTTCATCTTGTGGTCAATCATGACCCCTGAGTCCCTTTCATCCGTGGTGTTAGCCAGTGTAGCACTGCCAAGCCTATAAGCATGCTGCAGGTTTTTCTTCCCAAGGTGGAGAACCTTGCATTTTTCAGTGTTAAACACCATCAGGTTCTTTTCCACCCATTTTCTGAGCCTGTCAAGGTCAGCCTGGATCGCCCTCCTGTCTTCAGGTGTGGACGCTTTACCTCAAAGTTTTGTGTCATTGGTGAACTTGGCCAGTTCGCTTCTGACACCAATGTCCACATCATTAATGAAGATGTTGAATAGTATAGACCCAAGGACAGAGCCGTGAGGGATTCTATTGGTCACCATGACAATTGACCCTGTTCAACCACCACCCTCTGGGTCCAACCACGGAGCCAATTCCCTAGCCAGCGGATCGTGGTGAAGCTGAGGCTGCAGTTGGTCAGCTTTGCTAAGAGGTGATCATGGGATACCAGATAGAAGGCTTTTTTAAAGTCTGACATCAATCTCTTCTCCCTTGTTCAGGTGATAGGTCACCTGGTCATAAAAGGAAATAAGATTGGTCAAGCAAGACCTACCTGCAACAAACCCATGCTGGCTATCCCTCAGGATGTTGCCACCAGCCAGTCTGTCAAGAATGGTCTCTTTGATAATCTTTTCTAAGACCTTCCCTGGGATAGAGGTCAGGCTGATGGGTCTGTAGTTTGTCAGATCCACTTTCCTCCCTTTCTTGAAGACAGGCACCACATTGGCCTTCTTTCAATCTTCAGGCACTTCACCAGAGCACCAGGAGTTCTTGAAGATCCAGAGGCTGAGCTATCATGCTTAGCTCCTGGCACCTATCTTGGAGAACGTCTGGTGCTTTTATGATTTTAATAAATGATTATAATATTATTTAGTTAAAATTGTTTACATCACCTTATGTCAGTATATAAAAATATTCTTGACCTAACAACCATCCTAACCAAGAAAAAAAATGTACACTTTTTTTTAATCTACACCTCATTTTGAAAAAAGGTATCACTATTTTTTATTCTTTAATCTGCCCTTTTACACGGCTGCTAGTAGAACAATGTTGACATGAAGTTGCTTTGAGTTATAAAAAATAGATGCCAAGGACCATGTAGTAAATAATTCTGCTTAATCAACTTCATCCATATAAATTACTTACCTCATCCCCTATCACAAGTTCTTCCCTGGGACTGTGGAAGAGATACTCGTATAGTTTATAGTGTTGTAATAAGCTGAAAAACAGAAGAAAATATAGCTCTAGCACTTAGAATGGAAGCATGATAAAAAACTGTTTCAGTTGCAAATAACATCTTTCCAGGAGAAAGAAACCCCAGTAGTAAAAGAAGTTAAGCTTCAATATTTAAAGCATTTCACATAATACATTTAAAGCATTCACATTAGAGGCCTGGGAAACATGATTTACGAGGAAAGGCTGAAAGAACTAGGTTATTTAGTTTGGAGAAGAGAAGACTTGGGGTGGGGGGGTTGATAACAGTCTTCAAATACCTGAAGGATGATTACATGGAGGATGGAAATCACTTTTTCTTTGTGGCTGCAGGGGGCAGGACTAGTAGCAATTGCCTCAAACTACAGCAGAATAAATTTAGAAAGATTTTCCTATCTGACCACAAGGGTGATCAAACATTAGAAGAGGCTACCTAGAGAACTTGTGGAATCTCCATCCCTGGAAATTCTCAAGGGCAGGTCAGACAAGCATTTGACTGGGATGGTTTAGTGAGGAATGATCTAACCTTGAGCAAGGGGCTAGACTAGATGTCATTGTAAAACTGAGTTTTAGCAAACTTAATATTGTGTCCTGAAAAATGACTCCCAAGGCAATTATTACCAGAGGATAATGTGACCCACAGTTTTTTCACTACTGAAGACAGAACATAAGAAAATGAAGCCAACTCAACTTTCAGATCAGAGGCTGGGTTGCCAGTACACTGAACATGTTTGAAAATATACTGAGCCTCAACAGAAAACAAAGATGGCAGCATACAATACCATTTTTATGGTAACTTTGGATGTATACCCATATGCATCCTGTTTGACCATTCCCATAGCATATGCCACCACTGATTCCCAACTACTCCATGCCTGACTACAAAAAAATGGAACCGTGAAAAAACACTCAAAATGGCTCAAGTTGTTCCTTACTTGCTTTTGAAACAGACAAACACTCACTCCATCACCTTCAAAGAACTAATGTGTAGATTCCTATACAGCTCTGACTTCCCTTCCATGCTATGCAGTGTGTTTGCATTCACTAAGACATTGGTAGAAGGTATTTTATTCTGTTTAACTGCCAATTTCAATAAAAAATAGAACAAAATCAAGTTTTTTGTCCTGCCTCAATTACCTACTAGGTAAACAAATATCAATTTATGTATGGAGTATCAATTAAGTATACATTCTTAAGATAATAAGCAAAAAAGGTAAATATCATGTTTTTCACAGTGCCAACATCTTTAAAAAAATGCTTAACTTTTGTGAATATGGTCAAAAGTAAGTTCAACCATAAGCTAGATACTATAAATGTCTGAAAAAAATAGTTTACATCACAGAGATCTCTTTTAAAGTAGTTGACCCTACGGGGGTCAACTGTTTGTGTGTGGGGGGGGGATAACATTTTAATGCTAGCAAAACAAACATTATTTTATAAACACTTCTTAACAACGTGGAAAAAATTAAGGTAATAACTTATTATGAGACTCCCCTAGAACCAGACATTTTAGAAATAGATCCATATATTTACATATTTAGTATATTCAATTTTAATTTGCTTTCACAATTATATCTTTTAATTGCTAGCAGTATGAGTTATGCAAGAAAAGAAATAGGAACTGTCCCTGTATCAACAGGGTTGAGGTAGAGGGAGGGAGCTCTGACAAGGACTGTTCAGCACATACTACTGCCATGAGAAGTTGGGCTTGCAAATATGCAGTGACATGGTCATGGCTCACAAGAAGGCCCTTAAAAAAAAGTTTTGGATTCCCAGAATAAAAAAGTTCTTCCTTAAAAGCTATGGCTTGTGATTTAGAGGAAGAAAGAAAAAATGTAAACTGAGTTATATATTCTTTCACAACATTGTAGAAAGCAGAGAATTGTTGTTCCACTGCATAAGAATGCAATAATAAGGTTTTTTAAATACTGGAAGAGCCAGAAAATCATTGCATGTTTTGCTGAAAGCTTAGAGCAGGAAATAATCAACACTATGATATGACTACCTGCTACAGATCACCTCAGCTAGGGACAAACATTACACACAAACTAGTGTAAGTGATCAGAAACTGGTTTAAACCTGTAACAGAACAGATGTTCAGTGCACATAAACCAGTTTGAAAATGGATGAAACTGGTTTAAGATGAACCTGTTTGAATCTAGCATCACACATAACTGATTTGGGTCAAACCAGTTTATACAATGTCTGTCCCAGACCCCTTCCTGATTTAAATTAAAGCAGACTCCTCCAGCATCCCAACATGTTCTTCGGGCTGGGCAGGGCTCTCTACTCCATGGCAGAGCTGGCCCCTCCCCTCTGCTCCCTGGCTGCAGCTATGGTAGATGTACCCCTGGGGGTATGCAAGAGATCTCTGGGGGTGAAGAAATTGTGTAATGGTGGATTTAATTTTCATTATAATAATAATTTCATTTACGGGGTTAAATATAAAATGTATGTTGGTAGGGGTACATGGGCAGCTGGTAAATCTGGAAAGGGGTACCCAATAAGAAAAAGTTTGGGAACCTCTGATCTACAGTATCCATTCATTTGAAGTACATTTTAATCATAAATCATCAGCAAAAATGCCTGCTATGGTGCAGTTTAAGATATAATATCACTATGTTTATACAGCCTTCATCACTTACCTGCAACTAACTCAGACAAGTTGCTAAAAATACACAAATGCACATATTTTTTGTAATATTTTAGTCAAGATCATTACAGAAGACAAAAAGTATGTTAAGAGCATTACAGATATTTAAGAAATGATTACTAATTTTTGACTCATTAGTAAAAATAAGTTTTAAGCCTTATTTTATTTATTAAAATAGCTGGGAAAGAAGCCAGACTGACAACACTCGGAAATCAATTCCTCTTCTTATAACTGCAAACCCTTTACGGAATTTTGTTGAGGATTATGTTATATGTAGAGATCATTTTATTAAATTCCTATAAACATAAATGATTACTTTTGGCAGCTCGGAATCCATTCTTTACTAGAGTTATGTTTAACCTTGTAGAAGTAAGTAGCTTACTTGACTAGAAAAACAGACAAAGACCAGACGTGCTGATACTGCTTAATTCAAATGTTCTGAGATAAGGAATCCGTATTCCTACATTCCTTGGGTTATCTTGATATCTTGCCCTGTGCATTCCTGCATGCCTTGGGTTATCTTGATATCTTGCCCTATGCATAGATAGTTTGTTTAAGTAAAACTTTCTAAGTTTCTGTGTAATTTACTAGTGTTTTGTTTCTCCAAGGTGTATTTTATCTCTTTCTCTGTCTTTAGTATAAATACGCTTGTAACCTTAGAGAGTCTGAGAAATCCTTTGAAACAGACAAGTAGGTGATTCCCCTTGCTGTATGGAATTCTCCCTGTGATCACAGTATAGCCCTAAATAAAGAAAAGCTGGCTCTGTCAGTTCTGATTCAACCACAATGCGAAGTTTGATTTCTTCCACAACCTGGCACCCTTAATTCTACAGTAAGAAAAGAAATTCTCCATTTAATGGTCTTTAAATCAAATCATATAGACTGTAGAACATCAGTATTAATCCTCAAACAGGTTCCCCCCCACACACACACAACATGCACATTAACATGCTTTTTCCTTGTTTCTGTTGTTAACAACAGTGATATATTTGTGCCTGTTATTACTAACAATTGCACGGAAGTATCTTTACTCATGTAAGCAAGTGTTTAAAGACCTTATATGATGTCATGTAGGAATCTGAAGTTGATTAACACTGACATATTTTCCTAGCTCAACTCTTTCCTGAAAGAAAATGTCAAGAGATATGTTGATGTGTGTTTGCCCAGGGAGACAAGATGAAAAAGATGATAACTGTCACCTTTCACCAAACTTGAAGGTGTCATTATAGCTGCTGCACAGTTTGTGCCAGTATAGTTAAGCATTTGTCCCCATTTCCATTATAAATCCCATGGGTTAAAGCTCTACTGTAAAGATTTGATCTGAACTGAAACATGGCATGTTATTTTGAGTAAACAAAAAAACCCCCGTAACCCTATTATTTAACATCAATCAAGTGAAAGAAAAATAGAAAACTCTTATAATACTGCATTAATTAAAATGTAATAAAAATCACAGTTATGTTTTTGAAAACAGCCTTGACAAAACTGGAGTGTTTCAATATAATTTAAAAGAAATTATATCATTTGCTGAAGTAACAGATTTTATAACTAGTTCTATGCTATGTGCTTCAGTATGTATAGGCACTTGTAGTACATGTGCTTACTCATCCATTTCCAAAGGATTTTTAACTTTTGAGCAGGCTTGATAGCCAGCTGAATATTCTGTTGATAAATTTGTGTGACATGAGCCGATTCTCACTGACTCTGAGATTTCAAATGAAGTAGGACTGGATTTCTAATCTACACTAACATCTGCACAAGATTTACTTCATAGACCTCATCAGTATGAATATATGGTTACCCAAGACCAATGCGATCTTTCACACAAAGAACATCTTGTTAGACCCCAACTCCATGCAGTGCCCAACAACTAGGGAGACGATGGTCCAACTGCTCATTAGCCAGAGCAGACAGGGAGCAAACTCCAGCACACATTGCTCACAACAGCTTCGTTCAGAATGGAGACAGCTTCGGGTGAGCTCCCTCACAGACACCCAGTCTATGAACACAGGGAGCAGGAACAAACAATAGCTTTTCCCACATTTATACACTTTGGTTTATGCTCATTACCATTCATTCTACCTCTGTCCCTCCTGTGTTCCACCCATTTCTCCTCCCATCTTAAGCTCTGCCTCTGTTTACTGTTTGCTTCATTAGCATGGAATTTCCTATGCATTTTACTCATTTACATGTCTTTTTGCTAAGAGTGCATGTCTAAGATCTTGACTTCTCTTCTTCGGTCAACGGGAGAACTTTGACCAAAACGTGGAAGCTTCTGGAGGCTTCTTCACAAATCACCATTCACCTTTTTGCATATGTTCATCTTGGATTCTGTTACCAATTACGTGTTGTTT